TCGTTAATCAAGCAGCGCTCCTCGGATAAATCCACTGATCATTTTTACACCACGTTCCACAGATCTTTCCACTATTCGTTCCACATTCCTCAACGCTCCACAGATCTATCCATTGATCGTTTCTGATATGATAACATTCCTCAGACACTTTTCGGATCTACAGCTCCCACAGCTCAAATATTTTTGAGGAAAGTACATTTTTTCCTGAAAACGCACCGAGCCTGTGTACGTTCCAGTTTCACCAAACGTTTAAGGAAAGTTATAATTTAGTATTTACGAGCATCAATCATAATTATGAGAATATCTAACCAGCATTTGTACAATCTAACCTGAAAAAATGACCGGAAGCTTGATTTTTTTGTTCCAAAGAGACGAATTTACTATACATACAAAACTTTGTATGACACTCTTAGGAGACAGTAATAAAAGTTTTTCATAAAACTGTCTAAAATAGAGTAAACAAACTAGGACCTAAATACCGCGCACTTCTCTTGTTCCCAAAGACGTCAGAGCCGTTGCTCAGATAGTGACTTATGGCCAGGCCAGATTTCACGCTAAAAAGTCCAGGAAACATACGTGATAGCATCAAGGAATGTTCTAACGTGTAATGACAATTCTTTTTACTAGAGATAATAAATGAGTATTAAACGTTCAGCAAAAAATGTTGTGGGGTATAAATGTTTCTGGCGATCCAATGCATGGTACAGAGCGCTCGCAGACTCAACAAGAACACTAAGTCTCTGATACAGCCTAAATAGAAACTCCAGCAAAAAAAAAAAAAAATCTAAAGGAACTTTTAGTAGCAAGATGTCAAGTATGCAGACCATGCTCATAAGTGCAGTAGTGACTTTTTGCCTGGCTCCGCTCTCCGCCTCCCTCACGCTCCACTACAAGTTGTCGGGTCAAGCAGTCATTATGAACGGCACTTCGGTGGAAATTGGTTACATGGAGGAGGCCTTCTTGTTCTGCAGGGCGGAGGTGATGACCACTGACAATCTGCACCACTACCAGGTGCAGTGGCGGTACCCCACAGGAAGCATGGTAGACAGATGGTCCAACAATAACTACTACGTGTACTCCCTAGGCACTGGCACCCACGTCCCTCACTCCTACCTCGTCTTCCACTATTTCTCTAGTACATACGCCGGAAATTACACCTGTGTCTTGCTTTACGACAACACTGAGGTTCACTCTACGACGATCAACATCTCGCCACAACAAAGCTAGCACCAGCTGCAATATCCAGAAATAGGCTATTTATTATTATTTATTCATTGTCATGTTTCTTTAATATTACCAACAATATTGCGTTCTCGGTTATTTAATGAAATTAAATAAATTTAATTTATAATACTACTACTTTATGTTAATCCTGCAAATGACTTTTTCGTAAGAAGGTTTGTGATTTGAGTGAAACTATAAAGAATATAATACTCATTTAAATAAATGGGTAACGAGAGTCACCAATGTTGTATATTAATAAAGCTTGAAGAATCAAAGTCTTCAAACAGAACTGTTAAACATCATACAGCATATTTTATAGCTCATTCATATATTTGTTATTTAACCCTCGACGTAAACCCATCCAATAAAAAGGCTATTACTAAGAAGTGTAATAATAGGAAATATTTAAAATTCCTCAAAAAGAAAGCTAAATTTTACCTGAAGCCTTCATAATTCCTTTTCCAAGGAAATGGTTCCGAGGCAGGTGGACTTCCCATCCCCCCTCCCAAAAAAAAGTGGGAGGAAGGGGGACATGTCCGTAAATGGGTCTACGAAAGACAATGTGAACTATAGAATAGATGAAGAGAGGGGTAGGTAATGTAGAGGCATCTGTGGAAAGAAAAATTTATATATGGTAGAAAAAAAAAAGGAATGTATCCAAGTATAATGGTATCAACCCTTATATATGTTTGCAACATGTGCTTTAAATGTTGCAGGAGAGTGTAGAATATAGATTTTTTTTTTTGTGAGTAATGTGTGATGTGAATATTGTGCAGATAGTTCGGTGCATGGAAATTAGAAGACGGTGTGGGGTTACGAAAGATATAATTCAGATGGTTCATGGGTTACTAAGGTAGTTTGGGCACTTAGGAAGAATGAAGCGGATTACATGGGATAGGGGCTGTCCCAAGAAAGGGGCTAAAGGTTGTTTAAACTGCTAGGGACTTCAGCATCCACCAGGGTGGTGTGAACATACTGGTTAGAAGACAAATGGTTTTGATCATTTGACTTAATGTTGGTGTGAGCAAGACAACATTTATGAAGGGATTCAGGGAAACCGGCAGGCCAGACTTGAGTCCTGGAGATGGGAAGTACAGCGTCTACACTCTGAAGGAGAGGTGTTCATGTTGCAGTTTTATAACTGTAGTGTAAGCGCACCTCTGGCAAGACAGTGATGGAGTGAATGACGAAAGTTTTTCTTATTCAGGCCACCCTGCCTTGGTGGGAGACGGTCGATGTGCTAATAATAATAAATAAAAATCAAGTTTGAAGTCGCTCAGAAGTTGCATTCTTAAGTTATCGGCGCTGCATATTTTTAATCACGCAGATAAATTATTCACAAAATATCGCGTGAAAATCAGTTTTTCACTTTTACCACTTTCTTCAAAAAATTACAAACACCTACAATCCAAAATCAATCCAACCCCCCCCCCCTTTTTTTTTTTATCTGAAATACAAAGCCAAATAGAAGTCATTCTCCAATCAATGCAGGGGTAAATAATTTGTTTAATAAAAGTAGCAAGTTAAAACCTACAACACAAAATCAATATGACGCTTTCTTTGAAACACACACAACATTGTAGTCAACCAAGAATCGCACAGAATCCAACTCGTCTAAGTCTACTATGTTAGTAAATTAGTAAATTTACATTTACAGTCTAAACCCACAAAGCATCATCCTTTTGGTACAATGCAGCAGCCATTAAAGATTGAAGGTATTCAGAAGAGGCATAATCAAATTATTTAAAGGAAAAACACCATTTTATTTGAAAAATAAAATAGGCAAATTTGCACCTATATATTTCTATAACAATCTCGACTTTCTCCTTAAAGAAGGATGCAGCAGTATTGAGAGTTTGAAGCTGATCAGAAGAGGCATTTTAAAGTTACCACATGGAAATTAAAATCGGGAATGATCTATATAAAATTGACCAGAGAGCACATGTGCAGACCAGTAAGTTGAGGAAAAAGACGTGTACAATTCAGGACTTTCATTACAGAAAACGTTTCGCAATGAGTGGTTTATTCAGTCCTAAATAAGAAGCCACTCAGGGCGAAACTTTTCCCTCTAATAAATGTCTTTTTCCACAGACCAATATGTGCATGAACCTTTCCCCAGCACTGAAAATTTAAAGCTAATTTGATGAGGCGTTCTTAAATTTTCAACTAAAATCTTGGAATATAAAAATTCTGGTAACCATTTAGAGGTGCCATTCGAGGCTACTTAATTACTACAAACTTAAACTAAATTTTATTTCATTTTTTCGTTATTAACTGAAGCAAATTGTACAGCTTTCCTGTACATTTCAGACTCTTGTTCACATATAGGAACCTCACCACACTGAACGTTCAGTCTGCCAGAAAACTGATAAGAACCTCACATTAATGAACGTTCATAGTCTTCCCATTCATCAATAATAACCTCGTCACACACTGTCACAAAACTGGGATAACATCAGTGCTAACTCAACGTGTTCATCTCAATATAAAAACTGAAAATACACATGTTAAGCAGCTGTTTTATTATAGCTGGTCACCGCAAGTGTTAGGAAGCGTGATCATAAGATATCCATTACGCAACATGACGCAAGATACACGTGCTGTGATGCACAACACATGTGCAGGATTAAACATGTCCTGTAAAACACACCACATGTGCTAGAGTTAAGATTAACCTTTTGTAGATTAAATTATACCTTACTGCCACATTGAAAATTTTAGTTAGAAAAACAAATACAAACGAGATGGTAAAAAAAAGACACACTATCATTAAAAGATCACCAGTCTTGCGCAGCCATCACGAGAGTAACTGATTCACTGACATTTACAGCTGACAGGTACTCACCCTTTTAGCAACGAAATAAAACCATCACTACCTTACAAACAAGGGGGGGTCCTCCCTATATCATTCTCACTCCTGGTAACCACTACCTCGTTTCCTTGCCAAAAATCATTGCGTCAAATACTCGTTTGGCTGCCAACTCCATTATTACCAGTGCTGGATGACGAAATAATGTCCCTATATGAATCATTAAACAACTATAGACATGCAATATTCCTTCCAAATTTTGCTTGAAAACATTCATCTTTTCTTCTGCATACCCAAACCATTTCCCTCCCTGTCTGCAAACCCTTTCTTTTCAGAATAAATCCATCTCCCTCCCTACCTCCTTTCTCCATCAATCTCTCCCTCTCACTCTCTCCCCAACAAATTTCTTGCATGGAAACACGACGTTCTCCCGCACTTCACAGCAAATCAATCTACATCATTTATAATTACACTATTCTAGTAATAGCTAATTAAACTTCGTCAATTATACTCATCACGAAAGTTAGATCACAGTAATTGCAAGGCAGTAATTGATGGCAAGGTGTGTGTGTATGTATATATATATATATATATATATAATATATATATATATATATATATATATATATATATATAATATATATATATATATATATATATATATATATGATAGTGAGGTGCTGGCCAGACCCCTTATATAGCTTCCTTGGATGCTTTATTTTCATAGTTCCTTGATAATGTGAGTAGTCACGAAAGCGCTTGGAATTTCTCTATTCTTTCAGAGTGGTTGTTTTGCATATATATATATATATATATATATATATATATAAATATATATATAAAATATATATATATATATATATATATATATAATATATATATATATATATATATAATATAACCACTGTCTTCTTAAAGGCTAACTCTTGCCGAGTTACAGCAATTTAAATGACGATTATATCACCCACAGGTCCCTAGATTATACCACTCACAGGCAGGCACCTGGATTATACCACTCACAGGCACCTGGATTATACCACCCACAGGTACCTGGATTATACCACCCACAGGCACCTGGATTATACCACCCACAGGCACCTGGATTATACCAGACACAGGTACCTGGATTATACCACCCACAGACACTTGGATTATACCAAACACAGGTACCTGGATTACACTACCCACAGACACCTGGATTATGCCAGACACAGGCACCTGGATTAAACCAGACACAGGCACCTGGATTAAACCACCCACAGTTACTTGGAGTATACCTGGAGAAGGTTTCGCGAGTTAACGCTCCCCACGGCCCGGTCTGTGACCAGGCCTCATGGTGGATCAGTCTGATTAATAACAAACAAGCAATTTATCTGCAACATTACAGATTCACGCAAATTATCATTAATTATATACATTATATATTTACGTTTTGTTTATAATGTAATGTACTTCTCTGATATAGAGGTAATTATTATCCAGGAATTTTGGATTAAAAATTATTTGACTGTTGTAGGTTGCACCCTATAGGGTGGTATATCATGCTCGGGGCTGGGCTTTGCAAATGGGAATAACCACTCTTAAAATATGTTGGGGAGAAATGTTTACATGGCAGCGAGCAGCCTGACAGCGCACGCCTAGTGCCATTCCATCTTTCCAGCCTCGCCTGGCACTCACTCCACCGTGTATCCTGCCCTCATTCTCACACACGGCACCACCTCGTCCGGACTTGCACACTTTCTCATTAACAAGTTTTACTGCATATCTACGTATAAAAAGCGAATGTTTATAATCTGCGGAAATGAATGCATTTAGCTCCACCGGATGCGAGAGCTGCTGAAATTTGCGGCTAACATCTAATTGCTTTCAGATTTTTTACAATAACTTTTCGATTCTCGTAAATATCTTAAAAATATCTTGAGGACGATGGCACCGAGAGCATCTGACAAGTTTCTAGTAATGTTATGCTGTTTTAGCGTGGTTATTCTCATCGTCATGGTAGATATTCTACAAGGCAAGGCTGTTCCTACTGGAAGGTACGCCGCCTCGTTGTACATGGTAAACATCATCAACGGAACAGACGAGATCATCCGCGAACATCAAGATGGATTCGTGTTCTGTTTCGCGACCCATCAGTTTAGCAGTAGACGCATGCCCTACACAGTGGTATGGACCAATCCTTATGGAAGACCACTCATGGCCTATTCGCAAGTGGACAAGACGGCTAAGATCTTCACCGTACAGCAGAAGTTCCTCCTGCTTCACTCGTACCTAGTCTTCCGGGACTTCGATCACACCCTTTCCGGGATCTACACTTGCAGTCTTCTCTACAGCGGGCGGCTCCTGGCGAGGCAGACCATCCACCTCAGATTCTTCCAGCCCAGCTTCAAGGTGGTGCCTCTGTCGCAGTGCCTGACGGTGCCTGAGGGCGGGAGCGTTCTTGTGCCATCACCAGTGGTAGGTGACCCGCCTAAACCCACACTGTGGAGCAGGCTGGGGAGAGACCTGGACCTCACCACCACACATCATAACACGGGCCTCCTACTTCAAAACGTTCAAGGTGAGGATTATTGTTACACTCACGGGGGGAGCGCTAAAACAGTAGGGGGATCATACAATTCCTTGGAAAATGAGAGGCAATCTGGTCTGATCCAAGGAAAGAGAGGACAAATCCATTTCCTTGGATCAACAGCACTTCGCCGGTATCACAGTACCTCCCTTGAGGGGGATATTCTCAAGGTGAGAAGGAACTATTTTTTCTATTAATTTCATTTTAGTTAAGGAATATATATTATAGCTCATTTTTAACTTTTCCCTATGTTAGAAAATGTAAAATTTGCGTTACCTACCATCGCCATCTTCTGTAATTAAACAAGGACAAAACGAGTAATAATTATAGGGAAATAAGTTCGTTTAATTTATCAAGTAAAGTGTATGGTAGAAGTAAAGTGTATGGTAGAATTATTAATGCCAGTAATGGAAAAAGGTAAGTATGAATATTGAAGAGATTGGTTTTAGGAAGGATAGAGATGTGTGGATCAAATGGTTGTATTAAAGCACAGTACTCAGATAAGGAAATGGGCAATATGGATAGAGTGAAAGTTGTGAAGTTTTTTTTTATTAAACGACTAAATCTCATATTACATTATGTAGGAAAAACGGGGAATATTTTACCAGGAAAATTGGGTTTTTGACAATGATGAGTGATGTTACCGTAATTGTTTTCTGTGCTTACAGACGGGATTCTATAATAAGTGAGTATTTGAGTGTTAAGGATAAGTGTGATAATAACTGATAAATTAAAATGTAGAAGCTGTCACACTTGCTGTTTGCATATGATACCCAGTAAAAAAACTAAGAAAAAATGCAAACACTGGTGGAGGAGTTTGGAAGAGCGCGTTATTGAAAGAAATTGCAAATAAACATGCAAAAGAGCAAGGTAACAAGAGTATGCAGAAGCATATGGAATGTAAGACTGTGAACCAAAATGAAAGAATTGCGGAAGTGAGTGGATTTCCGTTCTTGCCAATGCATGTCCCACCAAACTTTTCCATAATGTACAAGCTAAATCACAGAACAGGAAAAAAGAAAGTTGCAACAGCGATGAAAAATATAAAGAAGGTTCTCATTGAAGGCAAAACGAAAAAAAAAATTAAGCTACAGCAGTAGTGCCAACACTTTTCCACTGGTATGAAACATGTTATTTAAATGTTACAAAAAGAAGATTGAAGACAGTGGAAATATCGTGCCTAGATCAATGTGTGGTGTGAATTCTTTATATACGACAAGGAAGGTGGAAATTTGTAGACGGTGTGTTGGTAGTAAAAGTATCAATCAAGAGGAGGAAGAGAGGTTGATGAGATGGTTTGATGTATAAATACTTGAGCAAGATCAGTTAAGTGTATAAACCTGGGTTAAACAGAAGGTGAGGGAGACGTATAAAGAACAACTGGAAGTGTTTTCAGAGTTTTCAGAGGTAGAGTAAGAGCATCTAGCAGTCACAGGTGAGCGTGTTATATCACAGTGAGTGAAGGCAAATGACTTTTTCATTGGAGGTGATGTTGGCACGTGAGCTTGGTAATATTACTGTATTATTATTATTATAATCAAGGGGGAAGCGCTAAACCCGGAGGATTATGCAGCGCCTGGGGGGGGGGATGTGGAAGGCATTCAGGCTTAATTTGAATATTACTGTAGGGATTTTAGGAAAGAGATTAGCCGGGTTTAAGGTCAAGAGGTGAGAAATACAGTACCTGCATTTTGAAAGTCTACTGGAGTTTTTAAGGTTTTAGTATATGGTGACTTTTTCTTCTTAGTGGCGCGCCCCTTCTTAGTTCATAACCACTGATGAATTAAAAGTAATAAATGGTGGCATCCAAAATATACTTTTCGCCTGTTAACAATCGTCATGCCGCTGTGTGTGTGTGTATGTACTCACCTAATTGTCGTTGCAGAGGTCGATTCATAGCTTATGGCCCCGCCTCTTCACTGGTCGTTATTAGGTGCATTCTCTCCCTGCTCTACGAGCCATATCATACCTCTCCTTAAAGTTATGTATGGATTCTACCTCCATTACATCACTCTCCAGGCTATTCCACTTCCTGACAACTCTATGACTGAAGAAATACTTTCTAACATCCCTGCGACTCATCCGAGTCTTCATCTTCCAATTGTGACCCCTTGCTGCTGTGTCCCATTTTTTAAACATCCTGTCCCTATCCGGTTTATCAATTCCTCTCAGTATTTTATATGTCGTAATCATGTCCCTCTATCCCTCCTGTCCTCCAGGGTCGTCAGGTCGATTTCTTTTAAACTCTCCTAGTAGGAAATGCCCCTTCGCTCTGGGACTAGTCTTGTTGCAAACCTTTGCACTTTCTCTAATTTCATGACGTGCTTGACCGGATGTGGGATCCAAACTGGTGCTGCATACTCTAATATGGGCCTGACGTACACGGTGTACAGAGTCTGGAACGATTCCTTACTAAGGTGTCGGAACGCTATTCTTAGGTTTGCCAGGCGCCCATATGCTGCAGCAGTTATTTGGCTGATGTGTGCCTCAGGAGATGTGCTCGGTATTATACTTACCCCAAGGTCCTTTTCCTTTAGTGAGGTTTGCAGTCTTTGGCCCCCTAGCCTATATTCTGCGGTCTTCTATGCCTTTCCCCGATCTTCATGACTTTTCACTTGGTGGGGTTAAATTTCAGGAGCCAGTTGCTGGACCAGCCTTGAAGCCTGTCCCGATCCCTTCGTAGTCCTGCCTGATCCTCATTCGATTCAATTCTCCTGTGTGTGTATGTTAGTTACCATTTCGTCCTAGGCACATGTCGATTAGACACTAGGCCTGTTGTATAAGCGTGTACTCACCTAGTTGTACTCACCTAGTTGAGGTTGCGGGGGTCGAGTCCGAGCTCCTGGCCCCGCCTCTTCACTGATCGCTACTAGGTCACTCTCCCTGAGCCGTGAGCTTTATCATACCTCTGCTTAAAGCTATGTATGGATCCTGCCTCCACTACATCGCTTCCCAAACTATTCCACTTACTGACTACTCTGTGGCTGAAGAAATACTTCCTAACATCCCTGTGATTCATCTGTGTCTTCAGCTTCCAACTGTGTCCCCTTGTTACTGTATCCAATCTCTGGAACATCCTGTCTTTGCCCACCTTGTCAATTCCTCTCAGTATTTTGTATGTCGTTTTTCATGTCCCCCCTATCTCTCCTGTCCTCCAGTGTCGTCAGGTTGATTTCCCTTAACCTCTCCTCGTAGGACATACCTCTTAGCTCTGGGACTAGTCTTGTTGCAAACCTTTGCACTTTCTCTAGTTTCTTCACGTGCTTGCTAAGTGTGGGTTCCAAACTGGTGCCGCATACTCCAATATGGGCCTAACGTACACGGTGTACAGGGGCCTGAATGATTCCTTATTAAGATGTCGGAATGCTGTTCTGAGGTTGCTAGGCGCCCATATGCTGCAGCAGTTATTTGGTTGATGTGCGCTTCAGGAGATGTGCCTGGTGTTATACTCACCCCAAGATCTTTTTCCTTGAGTGAGGTTTGTAGTCTCTGACCCCTAGACTGTACTCCGTCTGCGGCCTTCTTTGCCCTTCCCCAATCTTCATGACTTTGCACTTGGTGGGATTGAACTCCAGGAGCCAATTGCTGGACCAGGTCTGCAGCCTGTCCAGATCCCTTTGTAGTTCTGCCTGGTCTTCGATCGAGTGAATTCTTCTCATCAACTTCACGTCATCTGCAAACAGGGACACCTCAGAGTCTATTCCTTCCGTCATGTCGTTCACAAATACCAGAAACAGCACTGGTCCTAGGACTGACCCCTGCGGGACCCCGCTGGTCACAGGTGCCCACTCTGACACCTCGCCACGTACCATGACTCGCTGCTGTCTTCCTGACAAGTATTCCCTGATCCATTGTAGTGCCTTCCCTGTTATCCCTGCTTGGTCCTCCAGTTTTTGCACCAATCTCTTGTGTGGAACTGTGTCAAACGCCTTCTTGCAGTCCAAGAAAATGCAATCCACCCACCCCTCTCTCTCTTGTCTTACTGCTGTCACCATGTCATAGAACTCCAGTAGGTTTGTGACACAGAATTTCCCGTCCCTGAAACCATGTTGGCTGCTGTTGATGAGATCGTTCCTTTCTAGGTACACAAATAACCCGCACTTTGACTTTGTCAATGGTCCAAGTCGGACCGAAACGTCGTCGTAAGCTTCTGTCTTTTATGTGCGGGTTATTTGTGTATCGTTCCAGTCACGGTATTGTGCCTTTTTGTTATTTATTCCTTTCTAGGTGTTCCACCACTCTTCTCCTGATAATCTTCTCCATGATTTTGCATACTATACATGTCAGTGACACTGGTCTGTAGTTTAATGCTTCATGTCTGTCTCCTTTTTTAAAGATTGGGACTACATTTGCTGTCTTCCATGCCTCAGGCAATCTCCCTGTTTCGATAGATGTATTGAATATTGTTGTTAGGGGTACACATAGCGCCTCTGCTCCCTCTCTCAATACCCATGGGGAGATGTTATCTGGCCCCATTGCCTTTGAGGTATCTAGCTCACTCAGAAGCCTCTTCACTTCTTCCTCGGTTGCGTGTGTGTGTGTGTGTGTGTGTGTGTGTGTGTGTGTGTGTGTGTGTGTGTGTGTGTGTGTGTGTGTGTGTGTGTGTGTGTGTGTGCGCGCGCGCAGGAACAGGGAAGAGAGTGGCGAGATATTTTGCTGGTATTTATCTTATGCTCCTAGCTGGCATGTCATTATAGTTTTGATGACTTGAGTAGCACTTTACCTCAGTAGTAAAAAGCCTATTTCTGTTTTCTTTTTTTGTTACACAGGTCTTCTAACCCTCCTGTCATGCTTAAGTAACTCGAACACAAACCAAAAGCCAAAATTTACATATTAAGCTTTCATTAAACTTTCACAACAATTTGGACTTGGCCAATTATTATACCTTTCACAGCAAGAGGTTCTAGTTTTTGTACTCCAGAAGCTCAACCCTGGGACAAGTTTGTGCCCTGGGCCAAGCTTCATGATTTTGCGTGTATACTCATATGCACATAAAACGCCAAACCAACATGATTTAATGAGCGCTGCTACATTATACTAAATTTTACGTAAAAAACAACACAATTGTTGATACAAAGCCAGAAACCAACCATAATTTCTTAAATATTCTTTACGACAAATGCACATTTTATATTTGATATATATTATAATACCTGGTATACACTCCACAGAACCCGGAGTGTACAGGAGCACAGTGTGGCTGGGAGGTGGTCTCATTCACCACCAGGATGTAGCTGTGTCAGTACTTCTGCAAAACGGAGACTTGATTGAACCCGAGGATTCCTCTGCTATTACTTGTCCAACTGATATGCGGCCGTCACTCAAGACCCGCTCCAGTGTCGTCATAGCAAACGAGTTAATTGCAGACATCCAGATCCACGCATATCGCAGACTGGTGGCTGAGAAAGGAAGGAGAGGCAGGTATTCCGAGATGCAGTCTACCTCCATCTCCGCTCTGTGAAGGAGAGGCAAGCCATTTTGTTCAGGGATAGCCACACTTTCACCTCCACTATCTGGTAAGAAAACCTGAGGGACGATCTTGTGTGAATTAATTGTCTTGCTGTCAACTCCCCAAACTGAGGTGAAACTGTTATGTACCTTCTGAGTCCTCTTCGAGTCTGTGGCGATAGAGATGCACTGGAGGGCGAGTCTTTAAAGTAAATAATGTTGTAGTTTCCCCTTGCAATGACTATTAGAATAAATACATGCACTGACTTGATCTCTTACCTCGTTCACACCCTTGACCCTTCTCATCTTTAGCGGCTGAAGTGATACCAAAATTATGTTTAAAATCATACAAGCTTCAAAGCAGCTTGAACAATGCCTAATACAGACTTAAAATAATATATGAAGTGGAATATTTGTTTCCTGAAGGATCAATAAAATATGTAATTTATCTTTTTCTACTGTAGTGAGACATAATATATAAGCAACAAGAGGTCTACTTCTCTCGGTACACTTAGAATATAATCCTTTTGTTACAGATTAAAGTATTCTTGATTGGTGGTAAATAGGTGAGCTGTAGTATTAATGACCCTCATGCAGCTGATAGGTTTAAATTTAAATCAACCAACCACAGCACATACAGTACTCTCAAAAAAAAAAACGCTAAATTAATCCATTTTTCCAATCGCCAAAACCCATTCCTCCAATCATATATCATTCTTCCAACCATTCAACATTTTCATATAATCACTACACACCGTTCTTTTAATTATAACGCATTATGCAATCACTACACTCCACCCCATCATAACAGTTTCCTCCCTCTCCAGAAACCAGTAATATTATGCACGAGATGATTTTTTTCAGCTGATAAATATTCCATAACTGGAAAATGTCTCTCAAAATTTCACCTCTGAGCCGCGACATCATCGATATAGTATTTCCGTCCGGCATTTCGCCTCCCAAGCCAAGACAGCTCTTATGTAGACATGTTTCTAGCAACAAAAAGTTTTGCAAATTGTAAAAAAATAAACATTAAACGTAAAAAAATATATACTGTTTTTTTCATGTTGGTATATTTGGAGACTGATCGATACGTGCTTATATTACAGAAATGCATGATTACCCTATAAATTTATGACAGTCGAAATCAGTAAGTCCCACAATATCCTCGAGCCGTCCATCCTGCCTTAAGGCACATTAAGGCACAATTAGTTTTTTACCATATGGAATTAAGCTAATTTCTTTATCAACACTATTTTGGCGTTCATTTCCTTGTTATATACTTCTTTATCATCAATTTGCATCTTTATAAAGAATTGTATATTTTATTAGTATTTCGGCATTCATCACTTACATTCTTTAAAATATACGACTTGTAAGTTGTTTTGACAACCTCCAAATCCTGCATAATGTCCTCTTACACTTTCACACAATGGCCGAAATAACTATCATTTTAAAATCATAATGTGCCAACAGTTTAACACGAGTACTGGAAATTAAACCCTTTTCAAACTAGTCTTACAGGATTTAATACGATGCATAGTAACACTTTTACACAAATTAATGTAAACAATGATCGAGTCTGAATTTAAAAAACTTATGAAAATTTCTCATAAATTCCACTAGTGATTGTTGTTCTTTCCTCAAGATTACCAGGGTATTGGTTACTAGTCTTACTTACGCTCTTGTAATTTATGTTTGTTTTAATTCTGCACAGCTTTAAAAATTATTCCTTATACAAGCGTTTTCATTAGTTAATATGATCTTATTTGCATTCAAAATCAACATATTCCACAAATATAAGAAGCTCACGACCGTTAACAGCACGTCACAGCTCCTACAAACTATCAACAGAATAAAACAACAGAAACTGCTGTACACCATCAACGACATACAACAGTTGCATCCCACCATTAACAAAATGCAACAGCTACATCAACGGCATGAAATAACTACATCGTACCATCAACGTTATATACAGCGGCTACAACGAAACACTGATAGTATACAGTAATGCTACTCTAGTTTCCACCCTCTTATTACTTAAGATCTGGAACTAACCTCACTTATCCTGTTTCATGGCCAGGTCATTAATATTAGTTCCATTAACCCTTGCAAGAGCAGCCTTTCATAACTATATATCTATATTTCCATGACTTTTTCTGCACTAAATGCACAGCAATATGTATTATTATTATTAATTATTATTATTACAATCAAGGGGGAAGCGCTAAACCCGGAGGATTATACAGCGCCTGGGGGGGGGGGATGTGGAAGGCATTCAGGCTTAATTTGGGGAACTGGAGCACAGATCCAATTCCCTAAATCAAGAGCCCCTCACCAACATCAAGGAACCTTCCTTGAGGGGACAGCAATATGTAGCCTGAAGCAAGCCAAGTTTCCTGTTTGTTGAATTATTGTCATCTCAATTATTAAGGTATATAGACAGACTGGTTATAAATGACCATAATTTTTAAAGGGGTGGACCGGTAAGCCAGCGGAAGGCCTCGGTCAGATGACCAAAAGCTCCAAAGGCGGGTCATCATCTGACTAAGACCCGCGTCAGGAAACATTTGTCCTGTTTCCTGACGAACCTTACCTAACCTAACCTCAATTTCTATTACTTAAGAATAGAACTCGTTTTCATTCTTTTATGACAAATATGATCGGCACCTCTTTCCTCGGCCTATCATTTTCAAGGTTTAGCACGGGTTGTCTTCGACAGGCATATATTCTATGTGAGAAATATTAAATGTTTTAAAATGGAATTTGAACTTCAAGCAAACTTATAGAGTCTTTCTGTTGGTTAGGTTAGGTAAGGGTCGCCAGGAAACAGGACAAGTATCTCCTGACGCGGGTCTTAGATGATGACCCGCCATTTGAGCTTTTGGTCATTTGACCGAGGCCTTCAGCTGGCTTACCGGTCCACCCCTTTAAAAAGTATGGTCATAATTATAACCATTTAGTTCTTTAGTCTTTCTGTAAATTACGCGTCCCTGAGAGAGCGTGGTGTGTGTACTCACCTATATGTGTTTGCACGGGTCGAGTCACAGCTCCTGACCCTGCCTCTTCGCTGGTCGCTACTAGATCCACTCTCCTCTCCCGGCTTCAAGAGCCTTGTTCTACCTTTTTTTTTTTATAACCATGTATGGATCCTGCCTCTACTACTTCACTCTCCGGAGTGTTCCACTTTCTGACAACTCTAAGGCTGAAGAATTACTTTCTAACATCCATGTTTTCCTCCACTTCTCCCCTCCAGTGTGAGTTCCTCCACCTCTCCCCTCTAGTGTGAGTTCCCCCACTTCTCCCCTCCATTGTGAGTTCCTCCACCTCTCCCCTCCATTGAGAGTTCCTCCACCCCTCCCTCCATTGTGAGCCTGCACTACAAGTTTCTCCTTCCCGCACAGCGCTGGAAACACTTTCCTGGTAATCCATGGTGGTGTATTCATCAAAGACTCTTCTACGAACTTCAGCTTACAAATGCACTGGAAAAATAATGAAATTCTGAGCAGTAAGAAAACGGTTCAAAAAATGAAAGGTCAGACAGATTAATCTGCACTTCAAATCTACTTGATGAAAGAATATAATACAGAACACAAGGTCACATTCGTTAAGAGGTCACCTGGGTCACCCTGAGGTTGGTGTCAATCTCAGCACGAGGTCACTTTCACAATGAGGTTATCTTTTGGTCATTGTCTCCGTACTGCCTTTCAACAAAAGGTCAGCACAGTTATAGAATGTGAGACAATATATAGCATGTGCGTGCATGTAAGCTTCTACGAATATGTGTACATCAAGAGCTGTGGATCAAGTCCCCATGCGTTTACGCAGTCGCCTTTGTTTTTTTTATGAAGATCGATCAACAATACCCGGAACCTGGGACAAGTAGACTCCCCTCAACTCTTACTGCAATTCCATGGTATCATTTTGCCTCAACAGATATCAAAGTGTGTGGACATTATTTTGAGGGGAGAATAACAGTACCAGGAACTGGCTTTATGAAACACTGAAAAGAATGTTTCGCTGTTTTTTTTTTTTCCGGGAAGATCTTACGAAACCTGGGATGATTTAAGAAGAGGATGGGTACTGAACTGAAAACACACACACACACACACACACACAACAAGACTAGTCCCAGAGCTACGGGGATTGTCCTACGAAGAAAGGTTGAGGGAAATTGGCCTGACGACACTGGAGGCCAGGAGGGTCAGGAGGAGCATGATACAAGACATTGACAAATACTGCGCGGAATAGACAAGGTGGACAAAGACAGGATGTTCCAGAGATGGGACACAGACACAAGAGGTCACAATTGGAAGTTGAAGACTCAGATGAATCAAAGGGATGTTAGGAAGTATTTCTTCAGTCATAGAGTAGTCAAGCCGTGAAATAGCCTAGAAAGTGAAGTAGTGGAGGCGGGAACCATACATAGTTTTAAGGCGAGGTATGATAAAGCTCATGGAGCAGGGAGAGAGAGGACCTAGTAGCAATCAGTGAAGAGGCGGGGCCAGGAGCTATGACTCGACCCCTGCAACCACAAATAGGTGAGTACAAATAGGTGAGTACACACACAGCTTTGCAACAAGACTAGTTCTAGAGCTAAGGGAAATGTCCTACGAAGAAAGGTTAAGGAAAATCGGCCTGACGACACTGGAGGACAGGAGGGTTAGGGGAGACATGATAACGACATACAAAATACTGCGAGGAATTGACAAGGGGACAGACAGAATATTCCAGAGATGGGACACAGAAACAAGGGTTCACAATTGGAAGTTGAAGACTCAGACGAGTCAGAGAGATGAGAGATGTTAGGAAGTATTTCTTTAGTCATAGAGTTGTCAGGAAGTGGAATAGCCTGGTAAGTGAGGTAGTGGAGGCAGGAAAAATACATAGTTTTAAGACGAGGTTTGATAAAGCTCATGGAGCAGGGAGAGAGAGGACCTAGTAGCGATCAGTGAAGACGCAGGGCCAGGAGCGATGACTCGACACTTGCAACTACAAATAGGTGAGTAC